GTAAGTTTTGTATAATGAGAGAATATGTTCATGTACCATTCTTCTTGGGTCCTCTCCATACAACAGCTTCATCTTTATTATTTAATAAAAACCAATTGACATCACACAAAGACTTTGAGTATCATCAACATATACTGGAATCCAACTAATAATAATAAATAAATAAATAATGTAATAAATAAAATAATTGTTGATGTCCTTATGCTACATGTATATGAAAATTTTTCAACTAAGTAATGGCAATTCTGAAAAATACACAAGGCCCATGGTTTTTTCCAAAAAATGGCTCCAAAATCACCCCAAATTTTTATTACATTTTCTAACACATATTGATGTACTTATGCTGTGTAGCAAGTTTGAGCTAATTCCAACTTCAATTTTTTGATTTATGGCCACAGACCATAGACTGATAGTACTAATAATTAATAATTAATGATAGGGGCTTACCCATCAGTCCCTTGAAGTACATCTCTACCAGTTAATGAAAACATGTGAGGTATACTAGGACCACATAAATCAATATCCAATATACCAACCTAACAACACACAAACAAACAAACAAACAAGTAAATATATAATATAAAAACAGTTTCTCACTTTCTTTCCTTCTTCAACTAGTCCCAGTGCTATTTGACGTGTTACTGTATTCTTACTAACTCCTCCTTTACCAGATCAGAGAGGACAATATCACGTGATCCACTCTTGATAGATTCTTTCTTTCTCTTCCTGTAAGAATAAAAAGCATTGAAAGTTTAGCAAACCTGACGCCATTTTACATATACCAAGCTAGTCTCGCTGGCCAGGGAGGCAAGGGTCTGGCCTTGCCTCCCTACTGTTATTTGAAAAGTAACTTATTGATGGGTATTTTATTTTATTTTATTTATTTTATAGCGAAATTGCGAGGCTGAGACAAATTAAATTAAATGTAAGCATTAAATAGAACATTACCTTTCTATTTCATTTTAACCTCTCTCCCTCCCTCCATTAGTTAGATTCAAGATCGTTTCCACCGCCTCTTCCTAGACCAAACGATCCCTCGCTAAATATAGGAAGAAGAATTATTCCAAAAGAAGCTGAGCCTGAAACTGTTATACCCCACCCTGAGGTAGTCAGGCGTCAGGCCACGCCTGACTAACCCTGAGGCGGTCGGGTAGCTCCGTATGATCCTCGGCCACCATTAGGAGACCAACTGTTGCCATGACGCCAGCTGTCAAGGATTCGGCAGTTTTATCCTGCATTAGAGCAAGGGCTGAGGAAAGGAACAGGGCTCTGTTCAGAGCCTCAAGAGGAGGAGGAAGAGTTGAGAAGAGGAGACTTGAGGGTGAATCAATGAG